GAATGCGTACGTTACACTGTATCGGACGCCTAGAGCGCTGCAGTCAGTAGGTCGTTGCGGATTTCATCATTTCTATCGGATTTCATCATTTCTTTTGTCCCCGATTTCATCACTTCGCCTGCAGCTCACCATTTGTTCACCTCGCTCGCCGTGCACGGCGCTTTTTTATGCTTTTGTGCTGTGGGAACAAACTGTCGCCATGTTCATGCCATTGGCCATTACCCTATGTTTTTCACGGCTGATGGATAATCGACTGATGAAAGGAAAGGCATCGCTGATCCCACCAGGGCACATCATACCTAGAGACTTTGGTCGAGCAAATACGATCCCTCTAACAGGTGGTTTGGTGCAACCCTCCTTTTTTACGTTCTGTTGTTTCTTCGTCTTTACTTGTATAGCCGAAGTGGGAAAAAACTGTGGATTCGCTGCATGGCTCTCACGCAAACTATAGCCTAAACCTACTCCCGAAAAAAGGGACGAACGAGTTTCCCAAGACCACTAGCTTTTGCAGCAACTATATTTTTTTCATTCGTTGTAAGTACCACATCAATCAGTTGTGACGCTTACTTTGTTGGATGGTCGATAATTTTTAATGATGTGGTTAGTTGCTAATTTTGGTCCTTTTTGTGGTGCAAATTTGCGCTGTTTGGTGTCGACTGCCCCTCTGATCACGACCCCCTCACCTCCCACGCCGACGGTCAATTACGATCCCCCTCCCTATCGGGGAATTTCCAACAGTGATGTTCCGTGCATCCCTGTGCGAATCAGGTAGATCGCGAAAACACGAGAGCTCGGCGGAAACTCGCATACAGTTTTTTCCGGTGTAGGTTTGGTGGAGAGTGGATACCTGCAGATGTCACACTTGAGCCGCTTTGCAGAAATCTCGAATTGATTGCTTAAAATCGAAACCTATCTAGTAGTTTTTGTCAATCCCGCATTTCTTATAATCGAAACGTATCCGATGCTTTTTTTTCAATTCTGCATTTCTGCATTGCATCACTATCGCCAGCTACGCGCGCACCCTGTGATCCTAAACCTTGGAAAAGCTCCATTATCAGTACTTTGCTTAAACGTTATGAAAGCGAGTGACAGTATAAGGGAAAAGTCAAAGTTACAGAAGAGAGCGGCGACATTTTCTTGCTAGGTATGAACTCAATTAAAGTGTATATCCCGCTTTTCTGACCATCTTACCACCAGAGTGTTTTAGTCGTAATCACCTCAGTGCAGAAGCCATGGCTGACTCGATATGGTCGGCGTGATGATTCCATGGATAATACGTTCAATCTCACAAAATACCCCTTGCGCTTGGCCACTGTCATTGTAGCCGATGAATGACACATGAGTCAACCCAGCGTCTGTCTTCTATCCCACAGTTACTGTTCCCCATTCGGTACTGTTTCCTATTCTTCTGATGCATTTTAGCAAACGCAACTGTTTCAGGATGACTGAAAATGAAATATTCCATTTATTTCCAGTGATTCAAAGAATGGTGCCTGATTTCGACCCAAAACGGTTTATGTCAGATGACACAAACAGCTTCTACAACGGATTTCTACGTGCCTTCTCAGATGGAACTGCCGTCAAGATTCTGTGCAGTTCGCATATTCTTCGAGCTATCAAGCGTACTTGTAGGACCAAGTTTCTGGAAGTTGGTAACTTTCTGGAAGGATTTTCATATTGCGGACATATGTTTTTGTTCTCATATAATCTCTGATATATATCTAATCTGATGAGTCTTGAGACAGATCTCTCTGGAAAAAGCGTGCTGGAAAGGTCATAAGCAAAGTTCGTTTGTCGGACAGCAGACAGGTCTACTTCATCGAACAGTACTCCTCGCTCCTCACAAGTTTACAGGAGTGGGTGAAAACTAGTTTCGCTCTTACATGGAGGAAACTTGGATTAGCATCATTCCCATTGTGGGTCTTCTCGTGCTGGCGTTCCAGGAGTTTCTCTTCCAGGAGTCCACGTGTCTAGCAGTGGGGTGGTTTCTCGCGTGCCAACGCATGCATGAATATTTCTACGTTAGGAGAACGCTTCCATAAGAGGCTGAAGCATGAACTACCCGACTCGAAGTCTGATATGCGGTTCGGACGCCTCACAGATCTCACCATCTACTCCCTGCTGACATGAAGCAGGATCGTATCATTAAATTCATTTGTGAACTTCACCCTCGTCGTTCGTGTCTTGAAATGATATATTCCTGCGGATGGAAAGAGGACTGTCAGGGGAACGATATCGTCCTCTGCAGCAGCACCATCAACACGCCGATGCTGTCAAACGGTTTCAAAAGAAGCAGGATGACGTGCAAGTAGTTACCATTGGTCAATCAAAAGTAATAGAAGAAGAAGCAGTCTACTATTTAACCAATTGTGAGCTTGTTCTTGTGGCAGCAAGATACATTTTGATAAAAAACGTTTTCTTCAAAAAATGCGTCTTCTTCAGTTAAATAACCACCGCCTCAAGGGGAATGTGGTGCATGTGGCTATCGTTGTGATTGCGAAAAAGGCATGCAGTCAGGTGTTTCATGCCTCTATGTCCACGCATGTCTAATTTACGCCCCTTCAGGTGACTGATTTTTGACAAGGAATTTGTGGTCGGCACTTCCTCTCAATCCTGTTCTTCAGGTTAAGTTATGGGCGGCACCTGCAGCCATGTAGAGAACCTGAGAAAAATTGGCTTGGTAGCAGGGTCACAGAAGCCACTTCCTTTGCCGAAGGTCACTCTTCAAGAACTGATATTCTGGATTCAATAACAATTTAGCGCATTGAAATTGAAGCCGTAAGTGGGTTCAATTATGTAATAGTTCTAACATGCAGCCGTTCAGTAAATCCCGTTAATCTAGAAATACGGTGGTCCGAAGCAACATCCTTAGGATCTCGAAAGTACCATTCATGGAAGTGAATGACTGCCTCAAAGAAGTACTCGATGCCATGAAGGCTATAAGAAGTCGGGCTGATGAAAGCGCGCGCTCAACATGCCCGAAGAGGAAGCGGTTGCAGACAAGCACATATAGTAAGGCGGGCTGATCTTCCACTCAGTGGGCGCTTACGTCATAATCCACCGATTCGCAAACTCCTGCCGGTTGGTGTGCCTAGTAGATACGTGTGGGGGGGGGTAAGAGTAACTTGTTGTGTAACTTGCTTTTTTGCAGCGCTCGTCCCAAGAGAGGAAAGGAGTCGTAGAGAAGGAACCACCCCTACTCAATTCCTAACAGGGTTACGGTGAAGCATTGGCCGTAAGCCGTAAGAGGATCGAAGTCGAAAGAGTGGTGCAGTCTGTACCAGCTACGACGCACTCATTTACTGTGACGCCGTTGCTATTCGCTGATGGTCACCTGGGTATAGCACTTTTCGTGGTGATGCAGGTCCGTTTCACTTTGCTGCAGAATTAGTTTAGTCACTTCACATCGACATTTCAACAGGAACCGGATGGGGAGTTCCCCTCCAAAGGACATTTCCAAGCTCCAAACTTGGTGGTACGTGCAGGAAAAACTCATATCATGGGTTAGCAGCACATGCTGGACTGGGTGAAGCTCTGCATTGCCTCTCCGGATCGGATGATGTGTATTTCTTTTTACCGTTAAAATCGATGTATAGGCGTTTCACTTTGCACGTGGTAGCTCACGATATTAATTTCTCTGTACACACTCGGGACTCAATTCTTCGTCTTCTCTCCCTCGTTATATTTTCAGTTTTGCTCCCTCGTTTTAAGAACTTTTTGTCCTATTCCTGGTATGTAGCGGGATACTTTGATGCAAATCCTGGTGAATTTGAAACCCTGTTCAATACTGCTTCCCTTCTGAATTGGTGGGACAGTGTGACTACACCTATTGTGGCGGGTTTTTCTTCATACGTTGTGCTCGTTGTGAGAAGCTGTTCTGCGTCGATCATTTCGTGAAATAACACCATATGTGCTCTTGAATAATTGTTACTTTACTCATTCATATCATCCGTAACTCGTTTTTATAGGAAATGTCTTGGAAGAGAAGCACCTACCAGCATTCGACTCTTTCCTGCTGCGTATGAGAGCAAACTATATAAAACAAACAGGAATTCTTTAAAGGCTCTAAGAAGATGTACCGAAAAAATGCAAAACTGCAGTCCTACCAATCATTTTCGAGGATTGAATTGTGTTTTGAAAATTGTGCTTTTTGAAAATTGACTCCCCATGAATGAAGCTACTTACCTATCCACTGAACCATTGATGCTTGCGGCCATATATTCTCGAACTTAACTTGAGCCACACACAGCAGGATCGGCGAGTGCTGTGCTAGAAACCCCCTAACTCCGCCCAGAGAATCGTTCGGCAAATTTTGAACGCAGATTTGAGTTCAGCGTCCTCAAGAGCTACACGTCGATATGCATCCCATCTTGAATGGCCATGGACGACCTGTTGACCTTCCCTGGTTGGCACGTCAGTTTAGCGAGGCAGATCATGACAGAACTTTGAAGAAGCAACAAAAAAGTTGAGACGTGATCTGTATCTTCGACATTTCGACAATATCCTATCCAGTATTCAGTTTTTGGACGGTTTCACCTAATGCCACTGCCGGAATCACGGAAAATCGCTTTTCGAGTTACCTGGTGGTCCGGGTGTGGCTGAGAAGGATGGCATATTGAGACTGTCAATGCCTACAAGCTCAATCGATCAATCTCAGCCTGGAATAAATGGCGAAATTTTAGCTACCTATCCGATTATTCAAATCATGCTCCGGTAGACGGCTTATCTCCCCAGTTCACTGATCGAATGTTTTCGATGCCCATCGTCGCTGTTGTTTTACACTCCAGGCCAAGCACTTATCATTGAAATAGGTACTTTTTCGCTGTACTTTGATTCCACATCACACAGAGTGCTTGAAATCCTCACACGTTGTTGTTTGCGATGCTTATAATAATAATAATAATAATAATAATAATAATAATAATAATAATAATAAATAATAATAATAATAATAATAATAATAATAATAATAATAATAATAATAATAATAATAATAATAATAATAATAATAATAATAATAATAATAATAATAATAATAATAATAATAATAATAATAATAATAATAATAATAATAATAATAATAATAATAATAATAATAATAATAATAATAATAATATGTGAGGGAAATGCTTTCTCACTAATCTACATGTTGTCCCTTGTTGTAATCTCGGTATGATGTCAAATGTGCAATAACCTGCCAAACGAGGTTTCAGATAGACCCTCTCATTGGCCTGACATTTAGTTCTTCTCGTCTTCTTCAGAAGCCTGAGATGGCTCAAATTTTTCAACTTGTTACTTACCCAACCTGGTGCCTTTCCCATTCTAGCGTTTCCGACGTCCTGTTCTAAACGCTTCTGAAGAGCCCAGTAATGTTTGCGAACAACACGGAAAGTTTCATGTGCGGAGCCCAGGTTCTCTTGAATCTTATCATGTTGCATAAGTCAAAATGGTCATAGCGCACTTTGCCCTTATTGCAGCTCGCATTCTGATACGAACGGCGGTAATCATTTATTATTGACAAAAACTCGCTTCTTTCCATCCTAGGCTTTCTCGCAAAGATCCAAAATGATTCCAAATTTCAAGCTCGTTGAGATTTCTGTCTCGTATGCCAATCTAGTACATTTAACATCGGAGTCGTTCCCGTTATGCTCTCCACCCTTGTAGCTGACAAGAGGAGTGGTCATATTACCACGACCACATCTCTCAACCTTTAATAGGGGCGAATAACGTTGTCTGGTGTCATGCGCCCTGTGTACAGTCTGTTGTGAACAAGTTATCGTTTGATATCGCTGTTGGAAATAGTCTCCAGAGCAATATCTTCCTATAGCTGTGCTCTCACACTACCGCAGTGAATTTCAATGCTGATGTCATTGGAAATGGAAGGAAGGCATAAAGGTAGTTACCCTTGGCGTGGTACATGTCCAGGCTTGCATTCTATGTTCATCAATGTGTTAGTACCCAGCATTCCCTCCAGCGATTTTTTTGTTAAAGACCTTGATTCTAGTCGTTCTTCATCGCTTGTACACATTCTGGTTGCTGCCGTAACCATGTTCCCAATGACTGCACGTCTCACTGCAGAGGAGATGAAGACGGCGCGTGAATCAGGACATTTTACCTGGGTTTGCGGTAACACGTTACTAAAACGACACTGGATAGCTTCACCTGGAGGTTCAGCCTTTAGGTACTCTTCGTGTAAGCCTTGCCTTGTGCACAACTGCTCATTTATTCAGGATTCTGTTGATGCTATAATGAAGCAGTTACACCTGCAGTACATGAGAAGGTGGCTGCTCAGAACTGGTTCTTCAATTCTGCTCATAAAGCAGATCGCAGGTGTTGGTGCTAGTGCTGATCATTGCTAAACTCCTGACCTACAGTAATGCCGTGCTGACCATTTGAAGATTTTGCAACATAGGCGTTCCTCAGCCAGAATGGTCATGCGTTCTTTATTAAGTCCGAAGGTGTCGATTGCGGTAACGTGCTCATCCAGGAATACAGATAAGGCCTGTCGAATTTGTTCATTTTGCACATCCGTATAAAGCGATGTCATACCAAATGACTCCACTACGTATCTTCCGAAATTCAAATTGTGTAGCTTCTCAAGGAATCGGTTCCTGTTGGTCAGGTGAGAGAAGATCTTGGTTAACAACTGGCTCACTATAAGGTACCACGATATCCGGTCGGTTGCTACATCAACGCAGCTTATGATAGGTTTTATTTTATAAGTGTCCGCTGACATTGATAGAGTTCGATCTCAGCACTTCTCAAGTAGGCCCGTTCCCACTCCACACACAGCGTGAGCTAGGCTCTGTATGGTGGAGCCTTCGGTGAGTGTTCGCATGCTATCACTGGGTTGTTCAGAAGTGTTCGGAACGTCGAAAACGCTGGAGGTTGGAAGGCTATGGTCGTGTAGGTAACAAATCAAAAGCTTCGAGCCACTTTCAGGCCTCTGAAGAAGACGAGAAGGTCGAAACGTTAGGCCAATAAAGGTGTCATCTAAAAACCTCGTTTGGCAGAAGTATTTAAACATTGGACTTCTTACACTTCTACGACAGTTTGTGTGTGCGTGTGTGGTATGTGCGTGTTAAGGTGTTGTAGGTGCATGTGGTGTGGGTAATGTGTGTGGCGTATCCAGTCTCAGAAAAATTTAGTGATGATAGTTGTTTTTTTTAGTTTCACGGACGCTGTAAGGAGGGGGCGGGGCTTAGCAAGCCCCAATCCAATGGAGGGAGGGCGTAGGGAATCAGCTAAAATCCCCACCTAATGGTGTGCCCTGACAACTCCCGTGTATTGAGTGACCACAGCTCACCGTGTTCCGCCTTCAGATCACCTTCGGGTTCTTAACTGACGGAAATGTTCTGTCCAGTTTGAGGCAAAATTTCAAGCCCTTCCAACTGGCTAGCAGCAGTAGAGCTCCTCTTCTCAAAATGTCCGTGTGTTGAATGGCGGGCGGACAGAAGTCGTTTTCACAGTGGGTTAAACGGTCGCGCAAGTAACAAGTAAGCAAAAGTGTAACCTATAGTTTGAAAGTGACACCTATAGAGTTGCTTCTTCGCTGAAACTGAATTTGGGTTGGGTTTACGAAAAAAAGAGGCAGAGAAGGTGGCACTTTTGATCTCACTTTTTATCTTTTCTATACGTTAGTATGAGTATTTCAACAATCGACGGAGCGACAGCTATCCGCTCCTGCATTGGTGGATTACACCTCTGATGAGAGACTCTTCTGGAGAGTTAATGAAGTCTTCCCAACACAACTTTTTTGGCACAAAAGAAGCACAAAATAATAGTCGGAATAGCGTCAATAGTTAGCAGTAACATCTTTTGGGTCGACTACTTTCGCACTGTGTTTCAGCCATACACACTTGCGAGCTACTAGTTCAGAAGTTTGTTACATTTTGGTGCTAGCACTAGCCTGGAATGCAGCAGAACCTTGTGGTTGGTGCAGTTGCAACAGTGGTATCGGCCGTCACCTACGGCTCCACTTACGTACCAGTGTACTGGTTCGAAATTGGAGATGGTATGTTTCGTGAGCAGAGGTGAAGAATATCACATCGGTCAAGTCATATGGACAATAAATCCTTCAGGGCTGTACTTTCAATGGCTGATGTGCATTGGTCAGATGCTATTTGGCGCCATTATCCTTGGTTTCACTTCCTGGCCGCCAGTCTTTCCGTTAGCCATGTTGTCAGGGGTTTTCTTCACTTTCGGTGAGTATTTGTGGAGGTTTTCTGTCACGGATACAGACAAAATTGCTTATCGTTCCAGGTAATGCACTCACTATTTTTATAATGGACAGAATTGGTATGGCAGTAGGCTATTTGCTATGGAATACAGTGACCTGCGTTACCGGATGGGCTCTGACGCGATTCGGTCTACTTGGAAATCCTCAACAGCTACCTCATGACAACGTCATGAACATCATCGGTGTCATAACAGTATGCATAGGGTGGGCGTAGCTCAAGACAAATCACAGCTGGAAAATCCACACACTGACCCATATGTGCTACACCTTCACCTACTTTACTGCCATATTTCAGTGGATGCTTTTTCGCCACGATAAAGCGCCATCGAATAAAAGTTCGGCCTGCTCCCTGGCAGGATAAGGTCTGTGTCTTCGGTAGTATGATGTGTTATTGGTCTTAAGATATTTCCAGTGTCTTTCATGAATTGTACGAAGCTGTTACTTCAGCTCATCTTCAAGACATTATAACACAGTTCCCAGTCACATTCCGTTTTCAACTCTACTTGCATTTATCAAATATTTCGGTACTGTTTGCCCCTTACCAATCACCCGGAATCTGGTCACTTTTTGACCGAATTCTTTCTCCGTGAGCAGAATTTGCCTCAAGTCCCCCTGGGGTAGTGGCCTTCTGAAATGAATATCACATGCACCCGGCACGAAACATCCTGGCGCCCGCGCCACAGCGCAGGCGCCAGAATGCCCTTAGTCACTAAACTCGTTAAAAACTTGTTCTCAGGGCAGGCTGACCTCCTGAATACGAATATAACATTCGCTTGGTCCTGGCACCCGCGCCAAAGGTGCTGGCGCCGAAATACTCCGAATCGCCGACGTCGGTGATTTGGGCCAAGCGGATGTGATATTCGTATTGAGGAGGTCGAACTACTACCCCACAACATTTGAGCAAAATCTGTCCACGGAGAAAAAAGTCGGTCAGAAACTGGCTCAATTCGGGATGATTGGGCAGTAAAGGAGTAAATAGTACCAATATTTGTCGCATTTCTTTCACTCGCTTTTCGTTTATCATTTGTATGCTGTTTATTCTCAAAGTGCCACAGGTTGTGACGATGAAAAATAGCCGGGAAGGGCCACAGTCAGCAAGAAAACGATCAAGTGTTACACATAGTAGGGGCTCAGTCATGAACCATTAGCCCATAAGCAGCTCCACAAGAAGCGAAAAGAGACCTTGGGAACACCCCCATAACAGAGACCCTCTTACTAGTGGGGCGGCGTACTGGACGATTTGTCGGGCGTGGCAAGACCAATCAACAGGATTCAACGTGCAATCGATTCCCGGCAAAAACACAGGAAATCACCTGCGACGCTCCAGGCAACACGCAATTCCGCTTGTAAGCCGTTGTCTTGCAGAGTGAAAGTAGTCGTGGTTGCAATGGTTGCAATACTCACGCCCCTCTAGCTTCTTTATCTTTCGTTTCGAGTGACGGAAGAGGTGTATTCTTTGCGAATGGGGGCAACGACGCCAAATGCGTGGAGGTATTTCGAGGACCACTAGATCGCAAGAACTGTCTTTGAGGCTAGGATATATTGACAATTAGACGTTCAGGTCCATTCTTCTTGATATCTCCTAGGTTCATGCTCCAAAGGAATTTTTGAATTTGAATTTATCAGGGAGTCAAGACGAAGGGACTAGTTACAAGCAAGTTGTTCTCTGCAAACTTTTTGGCCAACTCAAACCTTGACAATAAGTGAATACAAAGAGTGCGCAAGAACCATTTTCCAAGTAACGACAGTTTCCAAAAATTTCAGACACCGAGACGGTTATCCTTCGAACTTGTGGAACAGCGTAATTCTACTCTCCAGCGGATCATGTGAGTTCTTCTCAATGGCGCAAAAGCGCAGGCAAATTTCAGTGTTTGGACAAAGGATTTTGCTGCAGCTGACCATCATTTTAACATGTGTGCGATTTTTTTTCTTTGTCCCTTTTTGCTTTTTCTTGGATTCATGGATGCTGCGCATTCCATTCTGGTGTGTTTTGCTCCTGGGAAGCTCCTGACTTTTTCAAAGTTTAAAATTTCATGGAAGACCATCTGTACTTTTTCTAAACAGAATTTAGTAAGCGAATAAAAACAGAAGAACAGAACTGGAGGGGGCGAGGTAGACTGTATTGCGTTCGTACTTTGTGGCACCGGCCACCTGCGTTTCAAGCGTCCGGCAGCGTCACCTGCAAGAATAGCATAGATATCGCTCTAGCATGTGCCCGCGTCTGACAGCATCCACCAGAGACCACCTCAGGGCCAGGAAAGTATTATAAGCATCGATCTGGCGTCCGTCATCGTCTACCAGCGTTTACCAGTGACCAGCATCAAACTGCTGACGAGAGCAGGGGCGATAGAGGGGTATCAACTGTCTGCTGCTCTCTACAAGCAGTCTACTACCCTCCTACCGCCCCACACTCTCCAGTCCCAGACTCTGGTGAACGCTGGCAGGCGCTAGATCGATACCTACGCTTCCCTAGCCCTCGAGACACTGTTAGTTGCTGCTGGATGCTGGCAAACCCTGGCAGATGGATGTCTATACCTTCCTAGTTGCTGACGCTGGCGGAGGTTTGGGACGCTGCTGGACGCTATTTGTCGCTGATGGACACTGTCGCAATGTATGAAAGCAGCCTAGAGACGCCACCGAGGAAGCATCTAGTACCCTCATGAAGATCTTTTTCATTGCAGATTTTTCCGTTTCATTAGGCCGTAGTCTAAGGGGCACGCATGTGTTAGTCTTCACTCCGACGGATTCGAGAGACGGGCAAGAGAATCGTAAATTGCCGCTTCGTCGCGCGCGGCAATGGGCGCGACGTTTCCTTAATTTGCACTACCCTTTCGATTGGAAGGCGGATTTCATGTAGACAAATGCATGATGGACACTTATGTCTGTTCTGGCCATAGATTGTCTATTGTCGACCAATACCACCTAAAATTGTCGTCACTGGCGAGCGCGATGTCACACGTGACGCCCACTGGAGCGGCGAATTACGATTCTCTTGTCACGTACTCGACGGATTCTGAGAAAAAGGAATCGTATCGAGAAAGAATTCCGAGGTGGTCGTACTTGTGCTTAGGAAACTTCTTCCAGTTCCCATAATGTCCCCAGGTGGATGAGACATTATTGCTACCACAATGTGTGACTACTTCTTCAGCATAGTGAGCAGCTAACACTGATCTGTATTCTGCAGTAAAATTCAAAAGGTTTGTATAAGGGTGAGCCCAGTAGTACGTAATGAAACCTGTTCGTACAGTGCGTTTCGAGCGAAGGAAAGATAACTATGTAGGTAGCTGTTTTAGTAAGACCTTTTGGGGGTTTCGTGAGTTACCGTCTACTTGTTTTGGTTTGGTAGATTATCAAATTACAGCTCATCTTGCTTCAGAAAACAATATGATGCAAGTGCTGATGAGAAGTTCCCTGAAGCTAAACGTTCTCGAATGTACAAAAAAAACCCTCACTGGGAGTATTTTGATAGTGTAACGCGCACGAGAGTTACCGCAAGCGTGTTGAGTTGCACTCAAAATCCCTGAGATGCGGTAGGCGTGCGTACTTCAGCTAAACGTGGCGCTAGCTGTGCTTATGGTGAGATGTTTTCATTTTGTAAATGACAGCTGTCTCAAAGTAAAATATCCCACGAGTAGCCCGTTTTATGCCATCCTCACCTACCCCCTCTCAAGGGTAATGATAGTACAGGCAAACAACCCCTTCCCCCTCTCAGAACTGAACTCGCAACCTCACGCTTCCATGGACCTTTCACATACTGTAGATTCCAACTCCGTTCATCTTGTAAACTTGGAAGTGCTAGCTTTAGAAATTGCCTACTGTCCCACTAAGCGCCTGGCCCCAGCTGGTAAATGTGACGTCATCTGATCTGCATCTGATGACTAAGCATCTGATGACCTGATGATCTGATGACTAAGTGAGAAGCATGTATTTATACCCTGAAGTAAAAGATAGGCTCATCTTGTTCTTGTTCCACCACGTGGCTGTAGCCTAACTGCATGTCCTTCACGACTACACGTGACGGCTGCTTCTATTTAGAAGACTCTTGATAAACTGAAAGCGCTGTAGTAGTGGTTTGCTTCACGGCACAGCCCATAATTTCGATTTTTTCCCTTACTTACACCACACAGGATTACCTGTGTAATAAACAATTACAATTACAATAATTGTGTGATGGGAAACGATTATTCATTATTCTTCCCTCACTGGAGCGTCCATTATCTTTTAATGTCTTGGTGAAGGATGTCCGCAATGATGAGGCGATGCCGAATCGCCTCGCTCCTACTACAAAGACTACAAAGAGTTTGGTCTGTTCAGCGCTATTCTCCTCACGATATGGGTCGGGTTTTTGTATGGTAACATGCTCACACCAATCAACTATCTCATGTTCCGTAGTGATGAGACAGGCAATCCGCCCGATGTTTCATCATACTTCTTCTCGTACTGCTTCGGAGCTCTGTTATCCTCCACCTTAATATTCATGGTGTACTCAGGAGTAAGGTGAGTTCCAGCCCGATACAGACGTGTTCCAGGTCAACTGTTTGTTTCTAGGTTAAATCGTCCTTTTGTGAATCCTGAGATAACTCTACCATCGCTGGTATCTGGTATTATCTACGGGATCGCCGTCTACTGCTTCTTTCTTGCTAATCAACACCTTGACCAGGTAAGGTTGGTTGTATATCGCGCTTTCAGAAAGATTGCAGTGGGGAAAATAGAACACCAGTTCAGCTGGGTTATTCACTTTCCTAGGCAATGTACTCGTGACAGCAAGAGACAAATCCCGTGATCAAGTGTTACGGGTAATTACATCAGTTCAGCTGGGTTATTCAGTCATGAACCAGTGGCCCATATGTAGCTCCTCACTAGAAAAAGAAACAAAAAAACTCTCGGGAACATCGTGAAGTATGTTGGACGTGGAACGACTTCTCCAGATTGCTGCCGGAAAATGGATACGGCAGCCGCAACAACCTCCAGTTCCATGTTAGTTTTGCTTAGCATTCAGCGCTAGCTGCGGAAAAGAGTGATTGTGAGTGAGGTATGTGAGGCTTTTTGTTGACCGCAGTTTGGAGTAAATCTGGAATGGATGAGATAAATCCTTTGAGCAATTTATCACCTACCTTTTCCTCTTATGGTTAAGAATTCTTATCTTCCTCATGATCCTTATTAATAACATTCACTGCAAAATCAAAATATCCGAGTGCCAAAAATCAGTGAAGGCAAAGTGCCAGAAGCGCCGCGCGCGACACGTGCCGCGCGGACGTTGTAGGAATAGAAGCTTGTGAGCCGTTGTCTCGTACAGCTACAGTATGATGTTGCACGCGTTGCAACGCTCACGTGTCTCTAACTTCTTTATCTCGCCGTTTTGAGGGACGAAAGTGGTACGTTCTCTGGGAGCGCGTATAACACTTCCAACGGCAGTGAACGACCACTCGATCGCGACAAGTGTCTTTAAGCCATCACACTCCGCGGTCACTCATAAGGATCGAAGCTATGTGGAAGACTAAGGTTGTGTTCATAATTTGAGACAGCGTCCACCAAGGTTCCGTGCGTCTGGTAGCGTCAGCTACTAGGAACGTACAGACTCCTGATAGAGAGTACGGCGCGATATAGAGTTACCAGCTGTCTGCTACCCTTCTATCGCCATACATTCCTGTTCCAGACTCGTAGACGCTGGTACTGCTGGCAGACGCTAGATCTGTACCTCTAACACTGGTGTACGGTAGAGTTGCGCTCGGTGGTAGACGCCGGAATACGCTGGATCAATATTTACACTACTAGTCGCTGACGCTGCCGGACGCTCGGAACGCTGGTGGACGCTATTGGTCGCTGGTGGGCGCTGCCGCAAAGTATGAACGCATCACAACGTGTCGCGCAATGGACAATTCTGTGCCAGTTCCGCTTCAGAAAGTCGCTATAGGACACTATAGCTCACTGCTGCGCAAGTGATTCCATTCTGTGACTGATTTCGCGTTGTTTTGTACTGCGTCTGTCGTCTTGTTCTTATGCTCTCCCAGTGCTACTCTCTCCTGTCTGGTCTTTTGCTCAAAATGCCGAAGTGTTTTTCACTTGCAAAAAGAAGCTTCCTATTTGGAACATTTTTGAGGATATCGTCCGCTTTTCTTCGCGGACATGCATGGAGTACACTTCCGTCTTTCATCCTCGCTACATACTAACCAGGAAAGGCCTCCAAGTTACCATGGTACTTTGAATGGAGACCTGGATGGATCGATAGAGTCTGTAAGGCTATTTACAAATATAGATAGCAAAACTGCAAAAACTGCTCGCTTTCAGGTGTAGCATGCTGGTTCGATTCTCGGAAGCAGGCACATTTTTTGCATCATTGGTTTTTACCTGATTTTTTGACTTGCGTACGGATTAACACCTGGCCATCACTTGATTCACGTTCTTGGCGTCTATTTACTGCGGAACTTTTTGTGCGTGGTTTACTTCATTAATGACATTGGAAATATCACGGTGACTTTGCAAAAACGTAGTAGATCAAGTCAACCACTGCCGATCTGATCTACCGCCATGGCACGCGTGGCATTGATCATTATTATGATCATTTACCATGCCATTCTCTCCAGCGAAGGTAGTCTCCATTCTCCTGGCAGAATTCGGTTCGCCGAAGGACAACGAGGCTGCTACTCGGGAGGAGAGGAAAATCGCCGCAGTGTTCTTTTTTGGCCCCATGAAAAATGTTATGAAACGGATTAGGACCTCGGCGATGGTGAATAATGTGGCGTTCAACATGACCCACAGAGACAACATACTGAAGGTGTTGTCGCAAGTGTACCGGATGTTTTGTGCCCCGAGATTCTCTAATTTTCTGAAATATTCGTGGTACAAAGCAGGTTACATTGATCATCACCCAGGAGCTTTTGACACTCCTGGTGACTACTTGTTCAACCTTGAAACGTCTCTGTTTCGTCAACGATTGTAGAGAAACAGCATCCATTAGATGCGCAGTTTGCGAGCAGCATATCTGCTTCACTCATTTTTTTGAATTGTTTCATCAGTGTTGAAGCATGAGTAACAGTTTGAATAGTTTGCAGATATTTTCAATGTTATGAATGAAGTAAACCACGCACAAAAAGTTCGCAGTAAATAGACGCCAAGAAGGTGAATCAAGTGATGGCCAGATGTTGATCCGTATGCAAATCAGGTAAAAACCAATGATGCAAAAATCTCTCTGCTTCGAGAATCGAACCAGCATGCTACACCTGAAAGCGAGCAACTTACCACTGAACCACCACGACTCGCTGCAACGTATGCGATTCCTCGCTTGTGGTTCACAGCTCACCACCAAGCCTCGGGAGGAGGGAAAAACTCACCCATGCGCGTATGCGGCGCGGTTTCTTCACGGCGCCGCGGCGGCAGGGCGGGCGAAGGGTGATCGCTTGCGCCTCCGCCACTGTGCTTCAATCAGAAGCCCCTTTTATGCCCCATTATGTGGAAGGAGGAGGAGAGAAAAGAGGATTGAACAAATAGTGAACGCTCATAGGTGAGTTAGTGGTAATGGTGAGCAGAGAATACAGAAAAGTCGAGAATCAGAGCGTATTATTTCAGTCAACAGCGGAACTATGATTCCCTTCGAATGGGACGTGACGTTATAGCGTTATGAGGTCACAACCAACTGTTGGCAATTTGCCAAACCTCAGCTTGAACTTTCGTGTAAAAGCTGCTTGCGTCGTTTTCACAATCGAAGGGAACTATGCCGCCAGTTCTGCCATTCACTGAAGTAATTCGTGATAGTCGACTTTTCTGTGATCTCCTACCACTAACTCACATATGCACCCACTATCTGTTCAATTCCCTTTCCTCTCTCTACTTTTCCCTCCTCTTCCTTCCACATAAAAGAGGCTGCTGGATTGGAGCACAGCGCCGGAGACGCGGGCCATCGCCTTTCGCTCCGCCCTGCCGCCGCGGCGCCGTGAAGAAACCGCGCCGCATACGCGCACGGGTGAGTTTGTACACGGAGCCACCAAGCCTCCACCCTACTGCACCATTACAAACTTTACCTGCTCATAAGTTGCTTGTGAAATGCAGGTTGCAGTTTTGCTATCTATATTTGTAAATAACCTTATAGACTCTATCGATCTACCCAGGTCTCCATTCAAAGTTCCATGGTAAGTTGGAGCCTTCCCTGGTAAGTTTTCAAGGGCTTTACGCAAAATGTGCCTTCGAAAGCGTGACAAAGGTAAAAGGGTGTCAACACCTTGAAAAAGTATCGAGGTAGTCCAACCTTTTTGGATCACCTTGACTGTTCTTGAACATTATCTTTCTAACTTCTATTTAATAGCTCACGTTAGTATATAACGTCAGCATCAGTGCCATAAAGCCAATTTGCTCGATTGCTCTCCTGAAGTAATTCAGAGGCTAGTGGTGTAAAAAAGAAATTAGATGCCGCTCTTGAGATTTTTTTGGTCAGCATGAGGCTCAGCGTAACTCATAGTCCATAAGCAAGAAAGTGAGTAAGCGGTAATCCGTATGACAAGGTTAAGACTAAACGGTGAAATGGTAAGGCGTGTTCATTTTAGGAGTGTTCTTTTTTGAAGGATTTCCATCGAGACGTGTGCCAAGGGGCACAATAGAAAGGGCGAATAAAGTCACCTTTTTATGTTGTTGGAGATGCGACAGATCTGCTAGCAGTAGTGCCCCATACTGCTTGCAGATCGTTGTCGCGTTCCTGTAGTATCAAATGGGGCGTAGGAGCTTTCAGGACCTTTTTGGCAAGAGAACAAACTCTGTCGCATAGCTGTGATTTACATACTGAATCAATCTTGGATAGAGTCGAAAACAGTGCTATCTCACAGCGAAGTTGTCTTTCCTTCATGTCAAGCATCAATTATGTAAATAACCTAGCGTAGTTTACAGTAAAATAGCATCATGAATGTCAGCGTTTGGTTGGACAACACAGATTGGTAATTGTCTTCTATCCTCCAGAAATAACCGAGGGTGTTCATATGTTGTTCCGATAAGTCTTGAAGCGTGCCACAGTTCAATGTGATGGCAAATGTTTCGCTGGTTGGACGCTTCACATCACCGTATCCGTGTGTACTGGGTCTAGAGACAGTTCCCACGGACAGTATATAGCAGGTAGAGAATGTTAGGTTACGAACTGTGGCAGTTAAGAACTAGTGGCATAAGTGAGTCCGAAATCGATAATAAAAAAAACCTCGGAAATGAAGCAAAACGTCTCCTTGACAGTCACACGCCTCACTGTACGAGTTCACCGCAGTTGTTGGAATATCGGCACTATGCGACTTCTGTGCAACCCCTTGCTAACAGATCTTTTTTTTTGCAACTTCCAATACTGAATGCCATCTAGTACTAGGGAAAAAAGGAAAAACAAAAACATTGGAATATAAAAATAGTCTTCGAGAATGTTATCACAAGAATGCTGAGTTGTGGGCAAAAGTCGTGCCCCAGGCGGGAGTCGAACCCGCACCTCACGCTTTCCGGGCGAGTGCGCTATCCGTTACGCCACCAGGGCCGCTTTTACCCTCTCAGCTTAACGGCTTTTATGCCGTAGCCTTACAGCACTCACACGTTTAACTTGGTGAGCCGGTCAGCCGTAATCGTTAGATATCGGCAATGAACCGCGAGGCCGAAGGCTTTACAAGTTTTTGAAGTTGTTTTGTTATGATAACTGCTATTTACGCCGCAGTTCGCGTTCCGAATGTTGGCACCAAGTTAAACGTGTGAGTGCTGATAAGGCTACGGCATAAAAGCCGTTAAGCTGAGAGGGTAAAAGCGGCCCTGGTGGCGTAGCGCACTCGCCCGGAAAGCGTGAGGTGCGGGTTCGACTCCCGCCTGGGGCACGACTTTTGCCCACAACTCAGCATTCTTGTGATAACATTCGGAACGCGTACTGCGGCGTTAAACAGCAGTTATCATAACAAAACAGCTTCAAAAGTCCTCGAGAACTTTTTACATAAAATTAGAACTACGGTAAGCAATGCATGACGAGCTTTTGCACCAAATCGATTGCACCACTGCTGAGTTCAAGCTTCGCTTAAATGTATCTTGCCTTGCTATGTGGACTACTACTCATTGTTTTCAAAAAGATATGCAGAGAAAGCAGAAAAACTAGTGAGTTCAAAAAAGAGTCGGCAGGCAAAGACTTCCTCTGACGAGCATGTGATATCGTGCTGCAGGCAACAAAACATACGCATGTGATTCACCATGTACTTCGTTGTCTTGCAGAGTGGAAATAACAAAGTGCAAAAGAGTCACACGTCCGTAGTCGCTTCATTTAATCCTTTGGAGTGATGGAAGTGGTACACTCCATGAGAGTACGGACCTGGATGCCAAGGCAGAGGCATTTCACGAATCGCTTGATGCAGAAACTGCATTCGAAGCCCATGTAATAGCACCGGCCGTTTAAGCCCCGCTACGTAGACCTCCGCATAGTCAAATGCAGTTGGTACGATGATTCAGTACTCGGCCTAAAATGCTAGCAGGGCATAGAGGGGGAAATGGCGAAATAACGAAGTGAAACCGTCAAAACCTGCGGAGAAAAGCCTTCGTTCTTAATGACTCAAAAAGCAATTTTGGACGAGTTTCCCGTAGGCATCTTGCCAATAACCGCTACGGTAGGTACGGCTGCACATGTACTCATATATCCATGCAGCACCGCAGCCGCTTCATATCAATCCCTTCGCTTCATATTTTACTTCGCAAATGAAGCAATACGAGCATCAGGTACGGTCGTCCATTTGTGGGCGGGCGGGCGTGGTGGGCGTTCGGGTCGGTATGTTGTAGCTTGATAGGGCCTTATGAACCTCCTTGGAAAAGGCGCTACGTAGCGCCTGCCCAGGCTCGCGGAATTCCGTCGTGCTGGGGTATCAATCCTACTCGTCTTAGGATTTATCGTGCCAACTGCCTTTAAGCCAGCACCTACAGATCCTGATGTCTACGTGGGGTAACAAAAGCAATCCAGCAGTATACCATTCTTTACCGGCTAGTTCACTTCGCGGTTTCGCATCCATAAATCGAAGAATTCAAGCAGATACGGTTGAAAATGGCGAGATATGATTATTTTATTTTTTTTTCTGGTACCTTTAAAGCTTCAATTTTCAATGTTTCACTCTCGCATTTCCTGTCATAGTTTACGTTTCCACTACTGCTCACTCATTTTCAGATAGTAGCCTATCCAATCCTTTCGAAAGCACCTGGAGTCATCGTTTCGTTGTGGGCGGTCTTCCTCTTCAAAGAAATCAAGGTTAGAAACTTCTTTCTCCTTTTTTTTCCTGACACATCTGTAATGGGCAGTGCCACAGACAGTTGGCAACCGAGCGCACTCCAACGCCACTAGTTGAACCGCTACAAGGTGAGCGGAGTGTCAAAGACGTTTCCGAAAGAGCGAGTTAGGAAGTGACATTAGTTTCGTTTTTCTCAGTAAATTCACTCCCCTCTGAAAGAAATCCCGCCATTTTGTGAGTAGAAATGAAATGTCATATGAAAGCACCTTGAAGCAGCTACAACAGTTCACTCTGCTCTTTTCGTTACTACGGAGCCTCGGCACCGGCATGGTCTCTCCCCCTTATCCACGATTTTTGGTTGCAGGCTCTGTCTTTAGTCTTACTAGGGCCAGCCCTCCATTACTAAGTAGCGTATTCCGAGTATGTAGTATGCCTACACCCTCTTGCTCACTTTTGAGGAGAGAGAGAGAGGTAGAAACAGAGACCGAGAACAATTCTACCTATTAGGTTGTTGCATAAGTTTTTTCCCCTGTTTTGATCCTTCCGTATTTCGTTTGCATGGAGGTTGGTATTTCGTCATCACGTGCATGACGTGTACATGATACTCTTTCACCACACTAGCTATCACTCACCCACCCTGCATTTGCAGGCTACAATGCCGCACAATTACCAGTGCAAAACCATGTCACAGTGGTGATTGTGCGGCATTGTGGCCTTCTTCGGGTCCCAGCCCCCGTCCTTCTGGGACGATGGAATCGACAAGCTGCCTGAGCGTTGGCGTCGAGTAGTGGATGGTGATGGTGCATACCTCTAATCTTCAGGTTGGTTCGCTATTGAGATATTTATAAAAAAGTAAGAACTTATGCAACAACCTAATACATTATCACAGGGGAGGAAGCATATATTAGAAAGTAAGTACTGAGAGCTCAAATGCGTTTCAGGCCCATTTTCTCCAATTCCCACAGAAATGAAATTGGGCTTTGCGCTTTGTCTAAATAGTGAGCAATATGAGTTAGTGGAGCTCCCGTGGGCAATGCCTTTATTCCATTTCCTCACAAGCTCAGCATCAGGTTTAGTTCACGTTGGCTATTATTTTCACCATATCTTTTCAGGGAACTCGCGATTTGGCCACATTGGCCGCCGGAATCTGCACTACCGTCACAGGTATAGTGCTTCTTACGCTGTCAAAAATGCAACTCTGAGATGCACTTCGTAAATAAATAATTATTTGAGTGCCTCTTATTACTTGTGATGATCCGAACACTTTTTTTCCTACTGTGTCGTTATGTATATCACTTGTGGCATTTTCAAAACTATTGAAACTGGAAAGAGAAACTACCCCGCTTCTGCGAAACACCTGCTTTTCAGCTGCGGCACATAGTCCATGTTGAAGGAAGAACTTGACACTAATGGCAGAACTCAAGAAAATTTTTCTGTTGAAACTTTGCTCACTGAGGTTATTCAGTACCCTGATCACGGATAATACACCTCCTCATCAGTACGGACTGCGGGGCGGGGTCAGTGCGGCGCGTTTTTCCGCGCTTCAAGCTTTCTGCACCAGTTGTTGAAGCGATCAAATGACATAACAGCATTATATCCTTCGTGTTACTCGTTTTCTACCACTTTTTGTCGCATACGCGCTCCAAAGAAAAGGCTGAGAACGGCTTCAAACAGTGTGCGCACTCCTTCTGGCCGATACGCCCCGACAGTCCGTAATGAAGAGGAGTGTACATTCATTTCGACGCTGGCGCGCCCATTTTGCCGTCAAACTGATTCCGATTTGACGCATCATTTTTCTCACGGCTAATCGCGTTGAAAGCTGATATACGGTTATTTGATCACGATCCAATATGACTTTCTTAGCTGGCGCTATTTCCCGCTAAAAGGCCCCATTTGCGATTACACTCGTCGCCCAAAACCGAAATCGAAGATGGAAATTTGCGTAATGGGTTCGTGGATGTCACGAATATGACATTCATCTTGGCAGCGGCCCCAAAGTAGGGCACTCTGATCATTTGCGCTCTTCTAAGGCCGAGTCTGGCGGAGAAGGAATCACACTCCCTCTCTGGTTCAGCCTTACAAGGGAAGGATGGTAGGTCGAAGTGGCGATTTGAAATGAAATAAATACCGTGTGAAAGGTCTTCGGACGGGGATTACGAAACCTTCTTCCATATCTGCTGCGACCCTTCCAGAAAAAAGTTACGGAGCCTTTTAGGGGGAGAGGACTCCATCATACGCTGGCGGTGGAGGTAAATTCATATCGTCGGCAGCCTGCGAATGAGCGGTTACGTCGTAGGCCTCAAGAATGCGTGGTCGTGGGTTCGGAGAACAAATTAATGCGTGGGCTCCCTCGCATTTTTTTCGAAACTGGTCCCTGTGCACTACAAAGCGATTTTGCATAACACTTGGGCTTGATAATGTCGTGACGTAATGTTTCTGAAGTGATGGATTCATTGTGGACGATTTATGGAGAGCATTTTTTGGCTATTGACTTCTTCTTTAATTGATTCCAAAAGCATATTTTTCACAGCAAAAATGCATTCCAACGAATGAGTTTGATCTGCTAAATTAATTTGTTCTCCGAACGACATGACTGGAAATCGAATCCGAAACCGCGCGCGAAGATGAGTATAGTTGGAAAATACTTCGAAACGGCGTGGCGTTAAAGTGGCAATCATGCGGAGATTGTGACAGGCAAAACCTTCATTTATAGCTACATAGTGTTGAAGGACGGTCTATCCCAAAGCGGGGCTTTCGCACCTCTGGAAGTTTTCGGCTTCGTTATGAACAAATCTCTTAAACCAGAATGCTTTACTCCACGCAAATCGCCACAATGGCTTCATCACCTCATAAACATAAAACGTCAGCGAAATATATCAATGCACAACAGTTTATGCAAAATCGCTTCGAAGTGCACAGGGACCACTTTCGAAAAAATGCAAAAAAACAACACGCATCAAAGATCCAAACCCTTGACCCCTCCAAACCCTTGGCATTCCTGAGTCCTACGACGTAACCACTCGCACACGCTGCTACGATCGCATCAGCCTTACGCCGCCAACACTGAACACGAGTCTCCTCCCCAAAAAAAAGCTCCGTAACTTCTTTAGTGAAGTCCGCAGCAAGATGGAAGACGTTTTGTATCCTTCGTCCGAATGACCTTGCGCCGGTATACATTTCATTTCAAAAGGCCACTTCGGCCTACCATCTTTCCCTCATTGGCAGTGCTGAACTGCGTGTCGAAACATTAACCTCTTTTCGCCATCAGGTATATTAACCGTATCAAGCAAGTTTCCATCGACTTTGGTAACAAAGAACATCGCGAGCGCCCTTTTTCGCGAAATGGTGCAGGTGAAGAAAGTCATGCGCGATCAAAGGGTCAAATCACCCGCCGTATACAAGTTTTCAATGCTTTTCGTAAGAGAATTGAAAGCGCAAGATCGACGCCATTTGGCGCGAAATGGCGTCAGCGAAAAAAAAAACAAATCTCATATTCTCGATTTGGGAGACAAGTGAACCCGTATATAAGTTCTCAATTAGGTGAGGTAGGTGGTGGCGCCAACGTCAAAAATGAATGTCACAATCGTCATCAGGGCACTGAATAACCAAAATCTGTAGGCAAGTTTTTTTCCATTCCCAGTAACGTTCAGCAAAAATGAGCGTCATTGTGTGGTTCATGCATCGTCCACTACATCATGCAGCAAACTGTTTCCGAAAGCTCACCATGTCCGGAACGACCTCCCTCGTTAGTGGCACCCGAGTGCCGTCTCTAAATTCCGCCCGAGCTATCCTCAAGGGCAGCGGTTACTACGATATCAAGGCCCCACAGCAAAAAACAAACTCGCTGGCAGAGAACAACCAGAAGTGAGGGGTGTAGGCAAAAGGAGCTTTCGGTGCGCTCAGGCGCAGGGCTGGCGGAGTATGAAGAGACACTCGAATTACACTACCTTCTAGTCCCACTCCAAAGCATTTTCGACCGGTGAAAGTGCCACGTTACTGCTGCTGCGGACCCATTCTCTCCAGAAACATCAGGGACCAGTATCCACGGAGGTAAGTGAACACCTTGTCCTAACATTAGCTCTGTTCCGTCAGCGGATGCATCCTGCTAGAGACTTACTCTAGAGTTCATTACAGTATAGTAGGATCCATGTGGCAATGAAATTACTGCAGAGCGCTTTTAAACATTTGTAACTGATAGATCAAACATTGAACAATATCAATGTTTAGTGAAAAATCTTTGAAACTCCATTTACACGGTAAAGTCTGAACTAGAAGTCTTTGAGAGGCAACCGATTTCCATTTCCATTACTCAAACATTCTGAATAATGAGTTTCGAGTTTGGCAGTTTTACTCTCAACGTTTTAAAGGTGTATCTCGGCTTTTCTTTTCCTCCTTCTCCTGGACGGCTTTAATTGTCTTTTCTTTAATTTCGTTAGCGAGCTGTTGGAACCCTTTCGCAACCTAAAATGAAAATAACGAGCTAATAGTACACTAGTATTCAACATGAACATTGCTATTGACATATTTTCCACAACGGATGAATGTTATACTACATATTCAGTGATACCTCCGAAGCGTCAGGTGATAGGTGAACATCAAACTTGTCAAGATATTCCTTAGCCTCCTGTGCCGCTGAAAGAGCAGATCGCTTTCTACGCCAACCACCCTGCAAACTTGACGTTAGAACTTCTACTCGAAATGTTGCACAATGGAATTCTCAGCGAATGCATGAATGATGTGGCAACCATTACCGTCTGAGATGGTGTGCCTCCGCTCAACATGTTCCCAATCCCGCTTCCGAGTCTCTCGCTCAGATCTCCAAAGGCATCTGTAAAGATCGATGCTCATGATAATCATAAGTTTCCAGCTATTTATTATGGGAAGGCGAAACACTAACGTCCTGTACCACCAATCACATTTTTGAGAGTTCCGCCGAAGAGAGGAATATATCCTGCGAAATGGCCGGCAACATCAGAGCTTCCGGATATCATGCTGCCAAAGCCAGCTGCTGTATTTCTGATCGACTCTCCCAGAAAGCTTGCTGATGCTTAACTGGTTGAAATCATCCCAAGGAAACATGTAGAGAAATCACAAAACACAAAGGAGCTTGGCTTTAGTGCTTTTCGATGCACTCGTTTGGACCTTTTCTTACAGCGAATTTCTAATTCGGCAAAGTGCTAAGAAAGCCAATCTGTTGGACAGAAGAAGCATCCACACCTACCACTGCGTAAAATATTCAGGCAACATTTCAACTTCCCCCCTCCCCCACCCCTAATACAATGCTAGCCATCGAAGAACCCATGAGTGACGGCGTTTTTTTTCGACCTAAGAATTACTGTGAAAGGTGAAATATTCCCTCGATTCGATCCAAGAATTACTGTTAGAGGTGAAATATTCCCTCGATGCATCTCGAAAGGTTCTGTAGGAACGTTCACGCTCCCGGCAATGCATGCTTAAAGACAGCCCCCGCGCTCAAGTAGTACATGGTCGTCCTTCCTTGTGCAAGTAGTACAGCCCCCAAGCTAGAGACTGTCCCACTCTCGCGACTCCACAGCGAGCGAGGAGCGAGCTACAGCCGCTGAAAGTTCTAGTTCTAACGCCCGCCCAGTTGGACCGCCCACTTGCTAGATGCCCTCTGACGGAGGCCGCTCAGTTGTTCTTTGTTGGGGCGGCGGGCATTAATCGGAATGCATGTCCCTTTTGCTGATCACACTCGTGCGCATGAATAATTCTGCTCTCCTCTCCTACATTTTATTCATTAGAGCACATACAGTCAGCTACAACCCATCAAGGTAAAACGCATGAAAATTACGAGCGATCCAATTTTTGTGGTGCAAAAGCTCGACGCACTTCACTACACTGAAATATGCACGCTACGCAACCCTAATTCGCGCGCGGCGAGTTTAAAGGCACCATTCGCGATAAAATAAGGGCTATGACTCTGAAGGTGGTCGAACGATCCGGAAGGCGATTTCGAGGCTGCGCTATTTAAGATGTGAAAACGGCAAGAAGCCACTGGAAGCTGGCTAATCAGATACTTAGCACTTTTTTTGTGCCTTTTTGAGTGCCGTTTCCGCAATTTGCGGTCGGAACTGTGCCTTTAAAAGCTGCTTTATTTCCAAGAGTTTTTCCTCTGCGTTTTTGTTGTTTTCTTTTTGTATTCTTTTTTGCACTGGATGATATCAACTACTGCGAGATGTGATAGAGAGATTTGTGAGCTAGGGGTTGCACAGAGACCGCAGGGAGGTGTGACTGTCAGGGAGCGATTTTGTTTATAGTGTTCTTGAGGACTCTTCTTGCTTTTTTGGGGAATTACTTATCAGCTACTGTTTCATAATTGAAAAGCAACTATCCATGACACTTTCATCGTGGGAGCTGTCTTTAAGCTTTCACGATTATTTGATCACTGTACTTAATGACATGAAAGCTGACTGTGAAGGGAACGGTAATGAGGGCCCTCGACTCAGCTCCTTTCGATTGATCGAAGTAATGGAGGATTTGAGGTCGCTCAAAACCTATGCAGTGCATGGCCAAGGAAGACCAATTCGTAAGGCAGCGTTCATACTTCGCGGTAGCAGCGCAATCGCTGCGATCGCCGCTGCTGTCGCGAAGTATGAACGCTGCCTAAGATGGCTCAAGGTCGATTCAAGCGATTCAAATAACATAAATTTTTCATCTGAATGTGTAATAACAAACTACAAAAATTTATTTCAAAAAAACCCAAAACACAGCAAAAGTTATTGTTATTACACATTCAGATAAGAAATGAGACTCCCGGAACAGCAATTTTTTGTGAATAAGAGAATTTTGATCTTGTAAATTTGCATCGCACAGGGCGCCCTCTCGGGGACGAGGAGCGACTGCGTGCACTACGCTTGTGAGCCTCTCCTAAGAATCCGTAAGGATAAAGCTCGGATAGTTTGTGGGAGCGCCCAACGAACTCAGACTATTGGCCCATTATCATCTGGCGTTGATATCCGTGAATTAGCTAATTCAGTGAGCTTCTTGTAGAACTCAACAAAACGTCCGGTGCGATGCGGGGCAGAGATTGAATTCTTTCTTCGGATCTCTTTAAATCGCTTCAACCAATTTTAAAGGCACATTCCGCGATAAAATAAGGCTATGACCTCTCAAATGTGTCGGACGATCCGGAAGGCGATTTTTGAGGCTGCGCTACTTTCAAAATGTGAAAAACGGCAAGAACTCCGCTAGAAGCTGACTAATTAGGCCCATGGACACCCCTTAGGCCCATGCCGACCCTCACCGGCTGCTAGCTACTAGCTAGTAGCCACTATGTTATCTTTCTCTATAACATTTCGGACTGCTTTTTCTGCTTTTCTCCGCTAATCAGATACTTAGCACTTTTTTGTGCCTATTTGAGTTCCGTTTCCCGCAATTTGCGGTCGCGAACTGTGCCTTTAACTGAGAGGGCTGCTACTTGGCTTTCTAATGATAGGTCTTATGTTCTCTATCGAGTCATTCTTCAGTAAGATTTCAGTGATAGGAAATAGGTTCTTACTGCTTGTTATGTTGCTAATTCCACTGGCTGCATACTCAAGTTCCTTGGCGACCGGTTTCAGTGCCGATGGTACCTGGAAAGCCTCGTTTTCATGAATGAAGACCATCACAGGATTATGTACAGAAAGCTTTTCTGGAAACGGCACTGTCGGGTTATTACTAGCCCGAAACTAGAAAACTTTTTGGTGAAACATTGTCTATAGGGGTACGCTATGCTCTGATCATTGATAGGACAACAGTTCTTGAACTGGAGCCATTTGACGCCAATTTCCCTTGCTGTCCTGATCACGGACATCTCATTCGTTTTCGGAAACAGCGCCTTTCAGCGCTCCGCTAAAGCTGAGCTTGGAAGGAAGACTGATTCTCTTCCTGGAAGGCTCAGCCTTAGCAGGACGTGTAGAGCGTAAGGCCTTACATTAGCGCTGGCGCCAAAATGAATGTCATATTCGTGATCAGGATACAAATAAAACCGTACATATGTTCTCATCTACTTTGGGTGAGAAAGGCAGTAGCGCGACATGCAGCTGAAACGAATGTCACTCGTGATCAGAGCAAGGATTGACCCCTAGGGGATGTTTCAGCAAAAATTTCTCGGGATTTTGGGGTAGTTTCAGGGTTCAATAGTGCCCACAAAACTAACTACGTACCTCAAGTCCGTCCACACCGCTTCTGCAAAGGTGAATTAGACTACAGGCGTGTCGTCCACCGGCCACTTTTAGTGACATAAGGAACATATTTGCCGTCCCACTACATGCTTCACCGAGGTCCAGAACCGTACACGTTAGTTCTGCTGCCTGAATGCAATGAGATCAAAGCCTGCAAAACTGCGAAATGGTGTTCGTTCCGCTCTGAATGGTAGACGACGTTTCCTTCAGGGGCGTGGCCTCTCACTGCCTTTGGGTAGTGGAGACGCACTGGTCGGAGTTCTGCGTCTCAAAAGCAGGGCAAAGAGACATTCATGGCAGTCGCGTTCAGTGTAAATCAAGAATAATAGCAAAAAGGCACAACGCTTTGATTAGAACTACTTGGTTATGGCGTTGCACATGTGCAGAGTGCGTGTAAAACCGAAGCAGATGATGGTTTAGCGAAAGGAGAAGACAAATGATTAAGATCGAGCTTCTGCTGGCTTCGCACTCCCTCTTCGAAGGCTCTGAAAGTTGTAACCGCTATCAACTTGGTGGGCCGATTCCTAAGTTTAATTCGCTCAGAACTGTTGACGTGAACTTTGTTTTCAAATACCTCATAGCGCTGGCTCCTTTCACTAGAACTACGGGGAGTTCTGTCATATTGAAACTGAGAACGCCTGCCCATAATCCTAAAATGTGTTATCGGTAATGCGAGCAGAATCACCAAATGTAATACTTTTCATACCTAAGCTACCCCTTCTCTCCTGGTTCATCTTTTGCAACATGGGCAGGAATTGCGTCCCAACGTCATCGCCGATTCCCTAACATTCCCTCAAACCCTTTTGTTCTACCACCCCGGCTCGAGCATGACAGCTGCTGAGCCCAAAATAAAGGAGCTGCATAAGAGCGATGCCTCCAATTATCGGGCAATCGTCCGCGAAGTACCCTCGTCATCCGGGCAGTTGATTAGGGCGGTCGTCAACGGGCCGCAGCGCGTGCCAGGAACTATTTGCTTTTTCCAGGCTAATTTAGTCATTTTTTCCAACTTTTCACTGTTTTGGCTACTTTTTCCCAGATTAGCAGCTCCTTATCTTCACAAGGTGGAAAAAATGACTAAATTAGCCTGGAAAAGCAAATAGTTCCTGGCACGCGCTGCGGCCCGTTGATGACCGCCCTAATCAACTGCCCGGATGACGACAGTAATACTTCGGAGCGATGGCATCCACAAGGTGTTTGAAAACTATCAAGGACCCCGCAATGCAATGCTAAATATTTTTAGTTTTATATGTCTCACTAAAAAAGCCTGGGCACTATTCACCCCTCACTACCCTAATCTTCCGAAAACAGGGCAGTTTTTGACCGACTTTTTTCTGCCTGGGCAGAATGAGCTGAAAATTCGTTGGTGTAGCTTGACCTCCTGAACATGATGTCACATCCGCTAGGCAAGAAACCCCCTGGCGCCGAATAGAATGAAATCTGTTCGTATACAGGAGGTCAAAATACCCCAGGAGACAACATTTGAGCCAAATCTGTCCACGGAGAAAAAAGTCGGTCAGAAACTGGCTCAATTCTGGATGGTTGGGGCAGTAGAGGGGTAAAACAATAGTGCACAAGCTGGTTTTGAAAAATTATGACAGAACTCCAGCGCGCACCTAATATATAACATCTGCAGTTGTTACATCAATCCCTGTGGAAATGTTACAAGTGCATTTCCACCTGCAATTTAGTAGTTCTGACACACTTACTCTTGATGCGAGGGTCGCGTAAGTCTCTAAGGTTTTTGCGGCCAAAACACATGGTAAGCAGTACAGTGAACTCGTTCCTCTTCGCTCCTCCCTCAGTTTGGT